AGACTTTTAGTAAACATTACAACTCTCCTGTACACAGATTTCTTAATGAAGTATTTGTACTAAATATTTGTTTGTGAAAATATCGAGTCTGTTTCATTTACTAGTCCACAAAATCTACACTCTTACTCATATCTATATAACCAATAACCTTTTCAAAGTGTTACTAGCTACAAATCAGGGTTTTCGTTCACATAGTACTGTCATTAGCCACAAATCAGGGTTTGAGTTAACAAAAGTGTTATTATCCATAAAATCACAGTTTTAGTTTTACAAATGTTAATTCAGGAAGCGTGTTATGTGAATATTACACGTCAGATTAGCCACAAATCAGGGTTTGAGTTAACAAAAGTGTTATTATCCATAAAATCACAGTTTTAGTTTTACAAATGTTAATTCAGGAAGCGTGTTATGTGAATATTACATGTCAGATAGAATATTAATTAATACATAATATTGAGGTCTAAGTACATCAGACCTCTTGTTTCATCGCAAAACATAATCAACCTGGGTATGAAATTTTATATTTATGTTAGGGATGAGTTTGTTAAACTTGTTTTAGTATTTCTTGAAATATTGAAAAAAAATTGTTTTTGCAATGAGCCATCGCACAGATCTGAATATTACGTGTAGGTTCGATGATAAAGTGTATCAGCCCTACTAGCAGAGCTGCTGCACTGCTGGATATGCACAAAAAAAGTCACTAAATCTAAACTTTGGGGAGGGGGGGAATTTAGCACGAAGATGAAAACCCAGAACACCATGTTTTATGACAAATGAGACGACAATGTCTGAAAAGGCTATTCTAAATGTAAAAAGGGAATTAAACATAACCTATAAGGCAATACAGAAGCAGTTGGAACCACTGATGTATTTATCAGCTTAGTATCACAGCTAATCCATCCCTAGAATCATCTGCATAGACCTTTAAACCTTTTCCATTAGTCAGTATAAAAATATTTATAACTAAATTTTGTGTCACATTAAATTGGAAATAAAGAGAAGCAAATTTTCCTTACTAATAAAAAACAAGATTAGAATGTTCATTTTAGGTCAAACTTTTCATGCTTCAGTGTTTAAACACATTGAAAAAATTAATGACAAACGTATGTTGTGTAACACAGTGAACACCACCTCAAACAACAGTCAATTTGTTACAACAGAAACGACTTGTTATGAATGTAAGATACGTTTTGGTTCTGATCTATACATTGCGTTAACTTATTTTAACCTTAAATCAACTACTAATATTCATCTACTAATACTATTACTAAAAACGATTCACTTATTATCAATCTTAGTATTAACTAACTGGAACTGGATCATATTAGTGTTGTTTCTCATACAAATACAAAGACACCAATGAAATAGTACTTCAGTTAATATGCACATAAGATCATTTACCCTGTCAAGAAACTAATGGTAGGCCTACATATTGTATATTTCATAAATTTTATAAACCTGGTAGATTTTGCATAGAAATTACACAGTTAAATGCATTAGTAAATATATCCAACAAATAAATATAAAACTGTTATGATATTTTCAGTTAATATCACGATTAAAACAGATTTTTCTAACCTACATAAAACTTACCAACTACGACCAAGCACACTACCGACGTAAAAAGGTAGATTAAGCTATTGGACTTAAGCAATATACGAGCGCACCCTCGTGTTAAATAAAATAACAACTTATTAAATATTATTATTATGTTCGATGACGAGGAA